TGTCAAACCACAGTATGTTAAAAAATTGTTTTTTTAATGTTATTTTTGAGAGAGAGGGAGAGACAGAGCGTGAGCGGGGGAGGGGCAGAAAGCGAGGGAGACACAGAATCCGAAGCGGGCTCCAGGCCCCGAGCTGTCGGCACAGAGCCCGATGCGGGGCTTGAACCCATGACCCGTGAGATCGTGACCTGAGCCGAAGTCGGACGCTTAACCGACTCAGCCACCCAGGCGCCCCCAAAGCACAATATATTCACGATGTCCCCGGGCTAATTAAAAGGTGGGCTTGTATTTTCCAAGAACTATCACCTTGGTCGTGAGTAGTAAAGTTCACGGAACTGAAATGGGTTTGTGCACATGAGTGTGTGTCTAGAGGGGATGGTTTTAGACTTTTCTCTTCTGCTCGTCTTCCTTTTAGATTCTACTCAGCTCCAGAGGGCTTGGACCTCCCCAAATTTTGTTGATAATTTGGGGCTTTCTATGTGGATAATACAGCTCTGTGTGTGTGTGTGTGTGTGTGTGTGTGTGTGTATACATATTTTATCTCTGGCTAGAGGTCAAGGGTGGCCGATGACCTTTTCTGTTATAATCTAAATCCTCAGCTTAACGCATGATTCCGACCCGTGTTATGTCTTGTTGTTTAAAAAGACTGTTCTGTTGGTGCTGATGTGATCTTCACCCTTGTGCCTGGCAGGGTTCACAGGTATCGATTCTGATTACGAGAAACCCGAAACTCCCGAGCTTGTGCTCAAAACCAACTTGTCTCCAGTGAGTGACTGTGTCCAGCAGGTGGTGGAGCTCCTGCAGGAGCAGGTGGGTGGCCCGGCCGTCTTTTCTTCTTTCTCTTTTTTTCTGAACTTGAACCAAATCACAGAAGATCACTTATTTACCAAGGCATCCTTCTTACCGTTTTCATTTCAAATTTTTACCAATTCCGCTTCATTGCAGAACATCGTACCCCACACTATAATGAAAGGCATCCACGAACTCTTTGTGCCAGAGAACAAACTCGACCAAGTCCGAGCTGAGGCTGAAGCTCTCCCTTCGTTAGCAATTACCAAGGTAAGACAGACAGTGCAGACTGACCACAGCAGAACCAGGCATAATGGCGGTCGTTATAGTCCATTTACAATCACTCTTAATAATGAGGACGGAATGGGGGCACCTGGGTGGCTCAGTCGGTTAAGCACCCGACTTCGGCCCAGGTCATGATCTCGTGGTTTGTGAGTTCGAGCCCCGCGTCGGTCTCTGTGCTGACAGCTGGGAGCCTGGAGCCCGCTTCGGATTCTGTGTCTCCCTCTCTCGCTCTGCCCTTCCCTGGTTGATGCTCTGTCTCTCTCTCTCTCTCAGAAAGTAAATATTTAAAAAAAAATAGGGGCACCCAGGTGGCTCAGTTGGTTAAGCGTCCAACTTTGACTCAGGTCGTGCTCTCATGGTTTGTGGGTTCAAGCCCCACATCGGGCTCAGTGCTGACAGCTGGGAGCCTGGAGCCCGCTTCGGCTTCTGTGTCTCCCTCGCTTTCTCCCCCTCCCCCACTCATGCTCTGTTTCTCTCTCTTCTCTCTCTCTCTCAAAAATAAACATTAAAAATTTTTTTAAATAATAAGGAAGGTATGGGTGAGGGACGTACAATGTCCATAAAGAAAAACACTTCATTTTTTTTTTTTTTTAAACCTCTTCAAGAGATTAAAAAAAAAAATTTCCCATGAAGAGCTGCCCCAGGGCCCTGGTCGATGCCACAGACAGGGAACGTAGCTCCTGTTATGCACAGGGCAGCGTGACATGATTGTTGTTGTATCTTCAGTTCTGCAAAAGTGCAGGCATCGGGCAGTATTGATTGGTTGGCAACTGCTGAGAAAATAGTTTTTTCAGAATGCCAGTGTTTTTTGGGGCAGTCGAGAAGGAATTTGGAGAAAACCAGTCACCCCGTGATCTAAAGTGACGGGAATCTTTTTCTACTCTGCAAATCCGACTTTTTCCTAACGAGGCAGAGTCCAGCCTCAGTGGAGGGTGTAGACTGCTTCGGTCACAATGAATTTACTGCCCGGCACAGGGAAATACAACCTCGGCAAACTGCACTACACGCGACTGCCTTCCTATGGGTCAGTACCAGTCGGTCCATAGCAGGCGATCACATCTTCACTGGCACCTTTTTGTTATCCTTGAAAACCCCGGACAGTTTTGAAAGAGGCACAGTAAGTTGGGAACCTGTTTCAGCTCACTTGTTCTCTATGAAGTCGTGAAAAACTTATAAGCAGAACCCCCTGACCCCACAAAATAAATTCTGAGTCCTCCAGCGCTCCAGAAAAATGTGATTATGTATTGCTGTACGTAATTATAATTGCGGTGTGGAATGATAGTTTCAATAACAACATGGGCCGCAGGGTACAGCAGAGCTTCAAATAACCTAATAATTAATTTTTTGGCCCTAGGGTCGGCAGGAAAGGGCATCAGAGCAATGACGCATGATTAGGGTTTTAAAGGATGAGTAAGATTTCTCCATGAGCCCAAGGGGCCAGGGCTTGCAGGGCTCTCAGTATCACGCTAAGAATTTTGGACTTTTAGCATCAATGATTCGGCAATTTCAGTCGGCTAACTAGGACATGTGGTGAAAGCGTGTGGCCATACCAGAATTTTCTGTAGGAAGAAAGGAAAAGGGAATGAACAGTGAACGTTCACACAGTTGCACACCCTCGGGAAATCTGCAGCCTGAGGCAGTCAAAGAGGTCGCCTCCATTTCAAATCTTTTCCCTACACTCCAGTAGGAAGGTTTTAGACTCAAACTTAATCTGACCCCTGGATCATGGGTCAGCATAAAAGTGGGAAGACTGAAAACAGAAAAACTTTTACCTTTTTCTCCTGACAGCTGAGTAAGAAAGGGCTTGCCCCGGGGCCAGATGGCTGAGAAACGAGCTTCTGGAAATGTTCACCTGTTTCTTGTGTTTTGCAGCTGGATCTGCAGTGGGTCCAAGTTCTGAGCGAAGGCTGGGCCACTCCCCTCAAAGGGTTCATGCGAGAGAAGGAATACCTACAGGCTGTCCACTTTGACACCCTGCTGGATGGTACGGGCTCTCCCTGTTTGTTTCTCACTCTTCGTTATTATAGAAAAAAAATCTTTCTCGGAAGTCTTCACAGGACCAAGGAACGTTCATTCTTAGTGTTAATTCTTGGGTCGCACATCTTAACCGTGGAGAAACATTTAGATCATGTATGGTGGGTCTAATTCTATCATGCGTAAATTCCATTTTTAGGACTTTTTTCATGGTCCTTGAGGGATTAGTGATTATTCGAATCCAAGGGACTGAAAAAGGAAGGTTTTACGTGCACACAAAGCCGAGAGAAGGTGAAGTGTTTCACCGCACTTGTGCTGGTGTTTAGAATCGAGTCGGGAGCACTGTTGCCCGCCGCTGGGACTCCCCTGGGGCAGCCAGGGAGAAGCTAGCACAGGGTCCTGATGTGCAGGGTGCCCCTCAGCCCCCAGACTGCTGGGTCACATGTTATCGCAGCAGCTGCATTCCTCAGTGGATGAAAGTGTCACTGCTCATGCCCTTCCATGAGATCAACGCGGTGGCTTCCTCCTAACCCTCACAGGGAGCATTAAGTCAGCCTTCTGGGCACAGGCTGAATGACTTTAGAGAACTGACTGGTCCAGGTCGGAAGCACGTGTTATTCAGAAAACTTCCGGCCCCTTCCGTGATCATTTCCTTCCCAGAACTGCCTGTACTTGTCAAATGGAACTTGTCTGTTTCAAGACTCTCCGCCACCCCCCCCCCCCACCAGGAATGGCTGCTAAGTGGGAGGGGCTGGGAAAGCCCCCGGGATTTGTAACACTAAGCAGGGCTCCCAGACCTTTTCGGAAGAAACATCAAATCAGATGTTCTTTCTTGACAAACGATGCTGACGTTCTTAGCGTGTGACTCTGCCTAGGGAATGGGGCAGGAAGGCCGAATCAGAGCTCCGAGAAGGCTCTGGTCAAAGTAGACCCTCCCCTCTTATTCCCCTGTTGGGCCTGAGAAAGTCCCATCGCCCGAGACCTTCATTCCTCAGATACGATAACATTCCCAAATACGATTGCTCTCCTTGTAGCCTGCCTTTACAACAACAATAGTAACGTGCGTCTGTAGGCTTTCCCCATCTCCAGGGCATACTCTAGGGCCTTATTTAACGTGATCTTCATCAAAGTCCTGGAAGACGGGCAATGATGCTCACCCCCTTGGCAGACGAGGAAGCGGATCTCGGGCAAAGTGCTTTGCTCGAGTTCATGCCCCTCGTCCAGGACCAGAGACCAGAACCTCCCGACTTCTGGCCCAGAGCGATTTCATACCAGGCTGTTCTCCTGGTGTCCTTTCCGATAGAAGTTAGAAGGCCAGGACGTCTGACGTTTACCTCGATGTTTTAATCGCGACACATGCCGAACACAGGCGGTGTCAAGTAGACGTCATGGGGCCCAGCAGCCAAACGCGGACAAGAAGAGGTTGACCACAAGCACCCCGACCACAGTTGTGGCTCGGAGACTGGCAAACCGCAGTGTAAGTGAGGGCTTAATTCCAGACACAGCGCTGTCACCTTTTGACAGGTACTTGTTCCAGAAAGAAAAATACAAGGGCAGTGGGCGCAGGTGCGGAAGTCAGCGTTGGTGGAAATTCGGGGTCCTTCACCCCGGGGTCTAGGACTTCGTCGTGGGGGGCACAAAAACCATCCTAGGATAGGCGCCAATCATTTGTGGTTTAAGGGGGGCGGAAGGGGCATTTTCCTGGGTTGAGAGTTCCTAGCTTTTGGTAGATTCTTTTTTTTTTTT